AGAAACAAATGTAAACAACCCGGGAAAGGAATGGGGAAGGAAAAACTCTTCGAATTCTAAAGTGAGGATCGTTCCAAGAAGTGATTATACGAGGTCTTTACTAGACCTCACTTGAGAAGAGTCCCAAGTTCGAGGACAAAATTAAACTTTGGGAAAGCTGCGTAATGACTGCGGATTGTTAAGATAGAGGAGGTAGTGTCTGCGCTGGGTAAGCGCGTGCGGGTGTGGTCCCGGGTTCCGGGCTGGTCCTCCCCCGGGGGCATAGGAATTGTTGAAAAACTACGTGTATTTCCTCTGGATGTGTTGACACCGCACAGAGAAGGAACCACCTTCATCTATGAAAAGTCTAAATCCTTTGTGGAGGGAGGAAGATGGGATCTCTGGGAACAGGAACTTCTGGCTCACTGTCTGGCAGGCGTTTAAATAATACTAGGTAGCAGGCTTGGGAGGTCTTAACGATAAAAGCTTAGGTTTGCATTTTTTCCTCCAGTCCTCAACCTGGCCCTCGCAAGTTTGGCCACTTTTCAGATGCAAAATAATTTGAGAGAGATTAAATTGCCCAAGTTTCCTTCTGCAGACAGCAACGCCCCTCTGAAGTGAACCCAGGCAGGCCCACTGGGAACAAGTGCTATGACCCAAGAGGGCTCTTCGGGAAATAGTGCTTTATTATCTGCTGTGTTTTAATGCAGACCTTCCAGGTTCGACGCAGGCAACTGCAAGGACTTCGGAAAGTGTTGGAGTTGTTCACACTACGTTAAGCCCGGGTTGTTGGAATCTTTTGTAAAATAAACTCTAGTAACTCAGACTTCATTTTCCAAAAGAGCTTAAGCTAACAACAGCGTGGGAGCCAGGGTTAAAGGGAACTGGGGCCCACAACGCCTGCAGCTTGCCATTCTTGTTTACATTCAGTGGCTCCTGTATGCCTCTGAGCCTATTTGTTTTCCTTAAATCGTTCAATCTGCACGAGCTAGCAAATATTTATTTATGGCTTGGCCCCAGAGAAGGCACAGACAACACTAATGAACTAAACTACTACGGTTAGAAACTTTGTTTTAAAGCTATTGTTGTTGGATGTTTCTGAGTGAGGTAAATACCGAGGGGCAAGTATGTAACAAATTGTCACCACGAGTCCAGAGTCTGGCAGAATCTTATGGAAGGCGGGGTGGGACATACCCCTCTCAAAGCTCAATTGACTTCCTTAGTTCATTAGAATACAGTTCTTTTATTGATTGCACCAACTAATAAACTTAAGTTTAAACCACCGGCTCTGAAGTGTAATGAATACACACAGTGAGAAAAAGGAAAGTATAACATTGTTTACCCACAAGGCTTGCCTGTGGCAATCCTGCCTTCTGCCGTTATCATTATAAAAGATTGTTGATCCATCTAGGATATAAATTTTAGGATATAAATTTTAGACAAACCTGATCCTTTACTAGAACTACAAATTCTACTTTTTAAAAAAAGGAAGGGATGGGGCTGGAGAGATGGCTCAGAGGTTAAGAGCACTGACTGCTCTACCAGAGGTCCTGAGTTCAATTCCCAGCAACCACATGGTGGTTCACAACCATCCCTTAAGAGAGCTGGTGCCCTCTTCTGGTATGCAGATATACATGGAAGCAGGATGTTGTATACATAATAAATAAATAAATCTTAAAAAAAAAAAGGAAGGGATTTGAGTGCTAGTCGTTGGCGCATGCCTTTAATCCCAGCACTTGGAAGGCAGAGGCAGGCAGATCTCTGTGAGTTCAAGGCCAGCCTGGTCTCCAGAGCAAGTGCCAGGATAGGCTCCAAAGCTACACAGAGAAACCCTGTCTCGAAAAACCAAAAAAAAAAAAAAAAAAGGAAGGGATTTGAGTAGGTTTCAGACCAGGTAAAGCAGGCCATTGATGGATGACATTTTTAAGACTTCTCATTTAAAATGGTGTGTAGAATTTTGTTTTTCTGGTCTACAGTTCTATGAAGAGAATTAGAAGCCATGTGTGGAAAGGCCCTCTTCTCTGTGTACCTCATAAAATATGATTGTACGCTGGCTGAACAAGAAAACTAATCACGGAGCTATGGGAGCTAATGAAATTACCATTGAGTATTCTAATCTCCTACAACCTGTGGGAGGAACAAAAGCAAAGAAGCAAACAAAAAACACTGATAAGGACGATAGCTTTTAAAATCATTACTAAAGACCAAGCTCGGAAATGACAGTGCCAGCTGCAGATGTAATTTGGTTGGTAGAGTGCTTGTAGGAAGCCCTGGGTTCATTCCCTGGCATTGCCCCAGTCAAACTTGGGGCTCATAAAAGGTACTTGTCTTTAAGATGTATTTCTTGTATGCATGTGTATGCAGGTGCAGAGGTCCAAAGGTACAGGCAAGGAGGAAGCTGTCCAACATGGGTGCTGGGAAGTAAACTTGGGTCTTCCAAAAAGAGTAGTGTGTAGCAGAAGACACTTGTGATCCTCCTGCCTCCACCTCCCTAGTGCTAAATTACAGTGATGTGCACGACCACACCCAGCTGTCAATGAGCTTTTGTTTTTGTTTTTCAAGGCAGGATTTCACTGTGTAGCTTTGACTGTCCTGGAACTTGTTGAGTAAACTAGGTGGGCCTCAAACTCAGAGATCCGCCCACCTCGGAGATGCCACCAAACCCAGCTTAACAATTTAAAGAGAAGTAATCAAAAGTATGTGACATTCAGAAGAGTGAACGTTTCTCCTCATTCAGTTATAGTGCAGGACATGTTCCAAGCTCACAGGCTGCTTGACCTGTGTCATGAAGAGCTGAGCTATTTAAGTCAGGTAGCACTGCACATGTCCTCACAGCCCTGGAGTGTCTCTGTGTACTTAGGGATCCAGCATTTTGAAACATGGATATGGAGTTCAGAAAAAAGTATTTCCCAGATGCATCCCTGTCTAACTATGGTTCCTCTCCACTTCTCTACTTGACAGATGAAAATGGATAATTAGTAACAATGATGAGCCAAAAATTCTGTTTGGGTATGTAAAAAACTCTCTCTCTCTCTCTCTCTCTCTCTCTCTCTCTCTCTCTCTGTGTGTGTGTGTGTGTGTGTGTGTGCACAAGCACATGCACGTGCATGTTCAAGTATGTTTGTGTCTGCGTACAAGCCCACATTTTTTTAAAAAAAATTCTACCACAAGAATGGTTAGGAATGGAATAACTATTTATATATTTCAAACACAAAGACTGAAGAGCTAAACATGAGATAGGAATTCAGGGATATTTAAAGGAAGCCTTTGATTAAATATGCAATCTGTACCATCTGTTTACTTTACGCTTTCCTGGAAAGTGTGTTTGTGAGTAGGAAATATGCCTGATACTCTGAGCAGTGAAATCTCTACTATAGGACAGACCCCTGTGCAACACTGTCTAGAAAGTGTTCTCTGGCCCTGTGGGATCTACAGGTTTTCCAGGCAGTGGTGTCACATGCCTTTAATCACAGCATTTGGGAGGCAGAGGCAGGCAAATCTCTGTGAGTTCGAGGCTAGTATGGTCTACAGAGCGAGTTCCAGGACAGCCAGGCCTACACACAGAGAAACCATGTTTCTTGTTGTTTTGTTTTATTGTTTTGTTTTGTTTGTTTGTTTGGGTTTTTTGTTTTGTTTTGTTTTGTTTTTGTTTTTTTGGTTTTTCGAGACAGGGTTTCTCTTT